ATCTATTCAATAAATTATCAAACATACGTTCCTGGCTTCGCATGACAGTGTCGTGCAGCTACCTTATTAGTCTATTATTTGACTTGTAACTATATATATATTTGTTAGTATTATGTTATTATATATTGTATTTAATAAAATAAAACAAAGCTATATATAGTATTAAAAAGCTACTATCGTAAGTCTATACAAATTTAATGTCTTGGTTTTTATGATATAAGACTTTAAATAAATATGGCTAGCTAACTTTTTTTAAAAAAAATTTCATATAAAATTTTTTTTAAAAGTCCACCTGGCTATTAATCATTAAAAGATATTTGTATAATTGGCTAATTTGCATTTATTGCAGCAAGAACTTATTTAGCTTACATTAACATTAAATGAATTTGAAATATAAAATTTCTGAAACGTATAATTTTACAAAAACTCTATAGAATTATTTGATCTAAATTTTGTACCCTAATTTTAAATTAGACCTAATCCTGCTCAATCCGGGCCCAATTTGAATTTTCTGGACCAAAACTAATCTAATGGTTGAGATTAAATTAAAATCTGAATCTGATCTGATTTATATTTTTAGAACACTATTTAGCTTAAAAAAAATAAAAATTTAAGAAATAAAAAAATACTTAAAAAAATAATTAGATAGCTAGAATTGATTAGTACTAGTTAATACTTATAAAAATTACCATATTTTACTGTATAAAGTACCTGGGTACTTTATGTTCTACATAGCAAAATTTTGATTTGTACCCCAGATATACTGTGCGATAGAGGATACATTATATAGAGAGTATTTTGAAAGGGAATATACTAAATAGAGATAATATATAAATATATCAAATTGATTTTTTGTATCTTTTTAAAGTTGTTTTAATACTGTATGTTTTATTTTTATATTTTATCGAATAAGTTTTAGATATGGTTTTATGATAGAATATTTATGATTTATAAAAATTTAAATATGATTTTATATGCTTTTTTTTTATATGAAATTTTTTTTGTAAAAAAAATTTGGTTTTTTTTTTTTTTTTACAATAAACTTTTTCTGCAATTGTTTTTTTTTTATATTTATAAAGTATTGTATATAAAACTTTTATTTTGTGTTTGTGTTTATTTTTTTTAAGTTGTGTTTTTTAAAACTTTTATTATAATTAACTTTTGTAAAAAAAAATATATCTTTTGCAATACTTGACTATGATAAACTTGAAAAAAATTTTTATAACTAATCTCTAGCAAAAAAAATGATAGTAAACAGCCCTAAAAAAACTTTTTATTATTTCTTATTTTGAAAAAGCTTCTGGTACTACTGTATATAAAATGGCTAATAAATTTTAGGTTCAATTTAAGCAAATTCAAGATTAGAGAAATAAGCAAGAAGAGCTATTATTAGCTTAACTTCATATTAAGCATTTTAATACTAGTGCTTAACCAAGTTATCTTAATTTTAAGCAGAACTTGCTAAGTGGGTTTAAGCTTTATGTGCTAATCTAAAACCAGTTAGTCATAATATGTTATGAGCAAAAACAACAATATTAGCAAAATCTTCACAATATATTTTTAATATCTTGATATAAACAAGTCTAAATAAAGTACCAAGTAGCTTGAGAGTTTTTTACAGTACTATAATTTTAGTAACTGTTATAGAATAACTATTGCACAAAAGTTACCAGAAAAATTAGAAATACAACAGCAAGAATTTTTAAATTTTGCTCAATACTATTATATCCAACATGATTATTCATTATTATTAATAGATAATATAGATAAAACCTTTCTTGCTTTTAATATACTGAATAATATAACTATTGACAATAAAAGAAGCAAGATTATTAGTATTAGAACTTGTGGTTATAAAAAATCCTGTTTTATCATTATACTTAGCAAATGATAAAAAATTATCACTAATAATCATTTTTAAATTAAAAAATATTTTACATCTTAAGTTTCTGCTAGATGTAATTATTAAAGCTAATGAAAAGGAATGGATGAATAAAATTAAAATGAATTATTGAATAGAAAAAATTAAAAAAATTATATATCATGTTCTGAAAATCTACAATCATTATTAATAATAGATTCTTTTAAGAGTTATTTAGTTTCTTCTATTAAAAGTAATCTTTTTGAGAAGAATACTAATATTGCAATTATTCCTGGAGAGTTAACATCAAAAATTCAACTACTTGATATACCAATAAATAAGTCTTTTAAAGTAAAGAAGCACTTTTTTTTTTACTGTAATACTATTAGTATATATTAATATATCTTTTATTTATATTAATAGATCAAGTATATGTATGATAAATAGGTATCACAAGAAATAAGAGAATTAATTGAAAGTGGTCGAATTAAATGTTCTCTCTATAATATTATTGTGAAATAGGTTAAGCATGCATGAGATACTATTAATATTCAACTAATTAAATACTTCTTTAAATATTGTAGTATTTTAGTTACAACTAATAAATCAGAGAATAATTTAATTTTTGACTATGATCATATTGAAAATAATAAGATCAATGATAACAAAGTTGATAAATATATTTTTAGAAAAGTAAAAAAGTTGATTTTATTTTTTAATTTAATAAAACTTTTGTTTTAACAATATTTTTTATTCTAACAAGATCTTCTATCTTAACAAGTTCTCTTGCCTCAACAAATTCTCTTATCTCAATAAGTTCTTCTGCCTCAACAAGACCTTCTGCCTCAACAAAACCTCTTACCTCAACAAAATTCTTTACCTCAACAGTACTTTTTATCTCAACAATACCACCTGCTACAAGCCTCATACCTTAACAATACTTTTTGTTTCAACAAAATGTTTTGTCTTAGAAAAGCTTCTTATCTCAACTATACTTTACACTGCAAGATTTTTTGGGTCAACAAAATTTTTCAGCTCAGGATAGAGAATTTGAATTTTATTATAATCAGAATAAGATAGAAAATATTATTAATCAATGGTTAATAACTGTAATTAAATAAAGTTTAAATAAACTTACTATCTGATCTTTTATAATATATGATAGTCTTTATATTCTACTTGTCAAATCTTGAATTGCTAATCTGCATGGTCATTTTTCTGGTTTTTATTCCAATTTCTTCAAGAAATTTATATAGTATAGTATTGTACTTTTAGTTTTAAGTATTCTCAAATTTCTATTGCATTATTATCTAAATACAACTTTTCTGATAAAATCTTATATAATTATTCCAAAATAATAAATATCTGGTGCTTTGTTGAGTAGATTTTCTTACAAAATTTCAGAAGCTATATATGATAAAACTTCATAAATTCTCACAGATTCTTTGCCTTTTTTTTCTTTTTATTTGTGCAACTTTATAAAAGGTTTTATATAAATTCTATTTTTGTATATAAAGATAGTAATTTAATATTAGAAAACTGCTACAAAAATAGCATAAACACAGCCAAGAACAAAAAAAACATTTGAGTAGTATTTAAAATACACAGAAAATATTTCTTACTCTAAATATATTTTTAAAATAGTTGTAAAAAAATATTAGTAACTTTACTGTATATATATTACATACTAGAATAGTTAAAATCATTTCTAACAAAAGCTAGTAAAATATAATTCAAAGCAATTCTGAATGCTTAAATAAATAGTTATAAGATAGTAATTTTAGAAAAATTAAATAATAATATATAAAAAAAGCAAAAATACAATGGTGACCTGTCACCATGATAACCCTATATGATCAGCCAATCAATTTTAAGATTGATGATCATATTTAAACATTGATAATCGGTATTTTTTTTTTGTTTTCATTTTTCACATCGAATATATATGTATATTCTTTTCGTCTATTTTCTTCGCCTTTACTTTCTGCTTTTCTTTTTTTACTTTATTTTTTTTATTTTTTTTCGTTTTTCTTTATTTTTTTTTTTCTTATCTTTTATCTTCTTTTCTTGCTTTTTTTCTTTCCCTTCGTTTTTGTTTCCGTCATTTTTCCTTTTCTTTTATTTTTTATTTCTTTTTTAATAAATTTTAGATCTCTTTTAGTATAAGTGGGTATATATAAATTATTACAAGATTATAATATATAAAATCTAACTAATTTGTGCTAATTTAAATTCTAACCTTAACCCTAACTCTAATAAGTTATAAAATTACTTAATTTGGTTCAAAATACTTAATTTATATATATTATAATTGTATAATAATTATAAATTTTTTTTGCTCTTTTTTTTTTAATTCTTTTT